AGTAATTGTTGACTTAAAACTTGACATTTATCCCCTCCAATCTTGCCCAATTAGGGTCAGGTTCCAGGTTTTTAAAATATTTATGCCTTTAGATTCTGTCCTTTGAAAGTCATTCCATCCCAGTTTGAAGAAGCTAATTTGTGCATTGCCATAATTTGCATCTTCCTGGATTCCCACTTCCTTGCCATCTCAATCCCAGACTCAGGCCACTGAACGCTCAGTGCATGCAGATCTTTAGGGACTCAGTAAACTCATCCTTAGGGCCCCATTGTGTTCCCTGTGCTGTGAAGGAGCGGCTGAGCAGCAGCCCCACAGATGGAGGGGCTCTCTTGAGGGTACTAACAACTGTGCCAACGTCCAGGGCTGTCCCTGGTTTGAGGCTGAGGCCAGCACAGGGCTCTGTGGACACCTCCATCCATCTTAGAGTCATGACAAAATTGACTATGAACATTAAGAGTGAAGCCACAGGCTGTGCATCACAGCTGTCTAATTAAGTCTGGCCCACTGACACGGGCAGCAGGGACGGCCAGAGGACCTGTCCTACTGCAGGACTGAGCTTGGTGATCTGTGGGCTCCATTTCACACCTAGAAGAGTAAACAATCATTTGCTAAAGAACTTGCTTTTTCATGAGGCTGCAATAGGCAAAATCTGTCCTCTTCCAAAACTGTATCTATCAGGAGGGACAGAGGATATTTTTGGTGGGATCCATGAACTTGAACTTGAACTGTCCTCCCTCAAGTGGAGCTCTCCAGGCAGGAGAACAAGGATCCTGTGTGGGGCTCCACAGGAGGCCCTCAGGAGGGGACTGAGGGCTTAAGGAACCCACTGAGGGGAGTCACTTGTCTGGGTCCAGGATGGCATAAGCACACAGAGCCATCTCCATTTACCAGTGTCTGCTCCTGCTTTCTGGAAGGCGGGGGAGGGTGAGGACTGTGTGTGGCCAAAGGCACATTGACCATGTTTTCATCCATGCACATGATCTCCTGCGAGCACTTGGTCCCCTGAGCTGAGAAGGTAAGGCCTGGGCTTGTTCCATCTCCGAGCACCAGGCAGGGCCGTGTGTCCAGGTCTTAAGCTGGTCCAGCCTTCTTCTCATGGAGAATTAACGTTCCAAGCCCAGGAAACCACCGACACCAAGCTTGAGTTTCCTATAGACTTCTTGTTTCTCACTAGATCTCACAAATACACCATTTCTTCTTTACTAAACTGTCTCTAGACCAAGACACAGCCTCCTGCAGGTCGCACTGAGGAGAAATAAACCCCTCCACGACCCTTTCTCCCTGGGGAACCCCGGAAGGCCTTCCTGTTGGCCATGAACAGTTCTGCTGAACATCTGAACCAGAGCTGGGAGAAGGTGAGGAAAGACAGGGCTGGGCATTCACGTCTTCTCCTAAAACATGGGGACAGAGTGGACCCGAGGCCTCTCTCGGCACTCGGAGGAGGAAGGATTGTCTTCAAGACTGAAGTCCCTTCTCCCCAGGTCTTTGCTGCAAAAAGAAGCAGCAACCAATGTACTTAGAAAAAAATGGGCAGAAACACCCAATTTAGCAGTTCAAGGAGAACCCTATGAAGACCGTGGAAAACTGAAAACATGGGCTGCTTCCCAGCAGAATTTGGAGTCAGAAGTGTAGCTAATTAGAATGAAGTACACAGTAAAAATGTCCCTTGGACAGACTCCCCAACTGAGCTATATGCCTCAGGTTATATTCAAATTAAGGCAGGTAGCACAGGATGAGCTATTAAAAAATTTAATAGTCACTTATTTTAATGTTATTAACAAAAATTTAGTACATCAGGCTCATGAGTTTTATTATCCTGTAATGCGACAAAATCTGTTTTTAAGTTTGAAACAGGGAGGCATTTATTAACACCACATGCCAACCAGCGGGGCCAACCAGCCACTCCAAAACAGCGAGGCAGTTAAAGAAAATATATTTAGTAAATAAAATGATTGGGCACAGAGAGTTGGTACCAATTGAGATGGTATGGGGACTGTTGATGCTAAGAGAACAGCACCCTACGAAGAAAGAGAGGGAGGAGGGGGAGGGAGATAGAACTGAGCGTGGGCACAGATTTGCCCTTGAGATTCAGGCTTGACAGAGGGGAGCAGCTCGGCCACCCACAGATGCTGTCTGACCCAGGTGTCTCTGATTCAGCCGTTTGCTGCTTAGTGAGGTCACTCTGGCCCACAACCCTAGGAGCACAGGGTGCTCACCAGATATCCAGACTAGTACACAGTGAGCCATGAAAGCCACATGCACTTGGGAGACAGGCAGAAGAAGCCATCACGTACCTTCACAATGTCCTCATCGGCCGACCTGCACTCCACAGCCTCCGACACGTCCACCACGGAACCGTCCTCTTGAACCCCCACGACTTTGACAGGGACCGAGACGGGCTTTCCGGTGAGAATGGCGGTGTTCAAAACCTCCGTGTCCTGAAGGAGAGAAGAGGTGCCGGTGAGCGAGCTTGGATCCCAGGGAGCGGGGCGAAGCCAGCCAGCACCTCCTCTGCCCTAAGAGCCTGCAGGGATGCAGCCATGTGAGGTGGGGTCCAGCCAGACTGATGGCCACACCCGGCAGCCAGACCCTCACCTGGCACCCAGCCTCTCGGGGAGCCCCGAGCTGCTCCCTCCTCCTCCTCCTCCCACACCCTGCACCTCCTGCATCTGTCAGGCTCACACCGGCACAGGATTTCTCCCCAGCATCCTCCAGGGCTCGGTCTGAGGGTCCTTTGGGTACTGATTGCCTGTTCTGGGCTTAGTAACACAGGAGCACACGCTTCATTTTTGTTTCAAATGAAGAAAGACAACAGCACAAAGAGCAAAGGAGAACTCGTCACATCATAAACCTCTGCACACCTGGGCTGGGCACCGTGGCCCCTCCCTCACCTCTCAGGACCCCAGAGATTCCCCTGCAAACCCTGATGACCCCTGGGTGCTCGTGGGTTCTGTCTTCCTAGTTCATCTCCATCTGTCAACTTCCTGCTGTCGCCTCTCCCAGCTCCCCTGCCCTCCCAGCGCCTCTGGCCTGGACAGCTACGCTGACCCCCAGGTTCTCCCTGGGTCTCTCTTCACAGGGCTCAAGATCTCCAACCCAGACTATCTCTCTGCCAGATCAAAACTCCTGGAAATTGCCCTACTGTTCGTAAGGTAGGGTCCCACTCACTGAGGAGGGCCACCTGGGCCTTGCCCACCTCCCTGTCCTTCTCCTGTCCCCTTCTCTCTGTCCCCTGCACAGTCCAGCCTTCTCACAGTCTGGGCAGCTTCTGCCCCATGTTACCTCCCATGCAGAGGTTCCCTGGTCTGCAAACAGGGACAAACAGGCCCCTACTCCACAGGGAGCTTATGGACATTGAACAGGCCACCTGTGCCCACCTCAGGGCAGAAGGTGCCGTGAGCACAGCCCTCCATGCAGCTGCTACAGTGGAGCTCAGAATGTTCACTCAACAAATGAGCTAAAGAGCCACCTCAAGGCTCACGCAGGGACCACGGTGGAGAAGCTACTTCCACACCAAGCTGGAGAAGAAGGCCAAGCAGACAGCCGGCCACGGCTGCACAACTCAGCTCAGCAGTGGAAGTCCACAGCATTGGCTCAGCTCCCCAGGAGGGTCCAAGAGGCCATCGCCCATCACTCCTCTCCTCAGTCCCTGCCTCAGCCCATGCACTAGGCAGGTCCCACACTCCGTGTCCTCAGTTGGCCCCCCACTCTCCATTCCAAACCAGGAGAGGGGCAAGAGAGGGGGCGGGCCTTGAATGACAGCCACAGCGGCCACTGAGACTGAGCTACTAGGAGACGGGCAGTGTTCTAATGACTGGCATGCAAATAATCATCCTCTGTGCTTCCCCAACAACCCTCCCAAGATAGTATGAGTTTTAGTACCATTTGTTACATGATTTGCTTTGCAGTGATATTAAACCTGCAAATAATAGCTAATTTTCAAGAGAAAATATCAAATTTATAAGGAACACATGGGAAAGGTGGCAGCCCAATCCAACAGGGTGGTAAGTCAACCTTCTTGTTTTGACATGTGTTCTTTCCTCGGTGTGGGATTTTTTTTTTTTTTTTTTTGGTGCAAGGGATTCCACCCAGAGGTGATTAACCACTGAGTCACATCCCCAGCCCTTTCTTTTTATTTTTTATTTTGAGACAGAGAGTTTCACTAGGCTGCCTCCAATCTCATTAAATTGCTGAGGCTGGCTTTGAACTTGTGATCCTCCTGCCTCAGCCTCCTGAGCCACAGGGATTGCAGGTGTGCGCCACCACACCCAGCTTGGAATGGGGTCTTGAAAAGATAATTTCAAAATAATGTAAATAAGTTAAGCCTCTCTAAAATCCTAAAGTAGGTCCCTAGGTACCCTTGGCACACCGAGAGAGCAATTACCACGTCCAATATTACATCAAAACAATGATCTGGTCGCGGAAAGTGCTAAACATCCACCATCGACCACAGAACAAGTCTTTTCTGCTCTGTCTGCGGAAGCCCCAGGTCCGATGCCTATAGATCATCTCCACACTCCTCTGTGGAAGGCCCTTCTGTCCCATGAGGGCAACACAAAGGGCAAAGTCACAGTGAGGCCATTGGAAAACTCTCTTCTCCAAAAAAGTCACAAGGAAACTGGCAAACACTGTCAAAATAACGTTTTCTGGGCTTTGGAGATGCTCCAAACACTTTTACCACTGGGAGAGCATTTACACAAGAAATAGAGGTCCAGGTCCTGGTCAAACACAAAGGCCTTGGTGGCACTTTAACTTGAGGCCACTCCCCCACTCTCCAGCTCTGCAATGGCTTTGAAGCATGACGCCACCTTCCCAGTAAAAACCAGCAGTGTGGGCACACAGAGAGGAGAACCCCACTGGAGACGTTTCCCACCCGCATTCCCAAACCACCCATGGTACACATCTTGAGCACCCCACTGGCAAGGCTGTATGTGGCCTGGCTCTGGGCTCATCTTCTCCCTGAAGATGTTTGTCAAAAGCAATTACAGGCGACTGTTCACCTGCACAGCTCTCTGAGGCGTGGAGAGCACCTCATCAAATAGCTTAAAGGGGAGAGAAGGGCAAGGAGATGACCACAGGGCTTTGGAAGATTATGACATGTTCCTGGGAATGCATAAGTATGGCCATGCTCATCCAAGAGCTGTGCACATGCCCAGAGTGAAGGCAAGTGCCAGGTACCTAAGGAGGTCCCATCACGGGCTGCCTGCTAGCTGGCCTGTCCAATGGAACGCCACTGAGTCATGAGAAGGATGAACTGACAGACCACAATAGGATTGGGCCTTAAAAACATTATGTTTAGAGAAAGAAGCCTAGACACGCATCTGACGATTCCATGTGTGTGAAATGTCCGGAACAGGCAGGACGTGGATCAGTGGCTGTGAAGGGAATGGAGGATGAAGGGCATAGGGGTCGCTGGGCGGTACGGTCTGTGTGGTGGGAGTGACGTGAATGTTCTAGAATTAGCACTGATGGTTGCAGAACCTTGTACACACACTAGAACCCACTGCATGTTCTGAACACTGAGGCAATACTGTTCTGGGAACAGGCTCGTGCTTTGCCCAGGGTTGGGAGGAGTGCAGGGCTATGTACCAAGTGGACGTGGCCACTGTGACAGTTGTGCCAGTGGGAAAGGACCTGGCAGGATGGGGAACGTGGTCAGTAGGGCGAGCCCAGGAGGCCGCAATGCCTTGTGAGCAGCGCGGGCTCTCTCAGGATGAGGTGGTTCCACATGTCGTGGCCACAGAGGAATCCTCAGGCCTAGGCCCCAGTGGTCCTGAGTGCTCCAGATGGTCCTTCTTCCCCCTTCTTGTCATTCAGATGGCCAGGGTCTCTCAACGGCAGCTCTGTTAGCTCTGGTCTCAAGGGCCCAGTGAACCCTGGAGAGGACTCAGAGGTAGGAGGGGAGGAGGACGCACTGGCTCCAGGCACCTCCTTTCAGAAGGGAAGGTGGCAGCCTCAGCTCCCATGCTGGGAACCCAAAGCCCCATTGGATCAGGAGAAGGGCTCATAGAGGGCACAAAGGGACACAGAGAGCCAGAGCCTACACTCCAGCCCTGGCACCACGGACCAGTAACAGCTCCACTGCATCCCAGCTCCACTAACGACAATAATAACACTAACAGTAGCAGCTACATTGGAAAGCTCGGCTATGTTCCCGGCATTGGGAGAAGGGCTTCTTGTGGTACCCGATACAATTCCTGTAATAAATTAATGAGGTTGGTTCTATATTTACTTTATTAAGAAGAAAAAAGGCAATAAGGAGTCTCTGACTGAGGCCCAGTGCTGCTCAACAATTCCACCCAGGCCACTGCTCAAGGGTACTCATTGGAGCACTGTGTCCCATAGAGAAGGTGGAAACCTTCTGAACGTCCACATGCAGGGCACAGCTCAGTGGGCACAGTACATACCCACAGTGTGAAATAGTACGCAGCAGAGAACATGATGAACTGCCTCCATGTATTAGTTAAGACTAGCCCAAGTGCTTCAGCTTCCTCCTCTGTAAAACAGATTTTTTCTCCAGGGGTTTATAAGGAAGACAGTAGATAACTGACTTGCCCACCAGCTGTAGAGAGTGGTTGGCCTTCTCTGCCCACTTTGTAGGTGTGGCCAGGTGAGGGGACCTGGCCACAGAAGGTGAGTGGGCGGATGCACTCACTTTGAAACAGAGGACCCAAGAATGCAAGTCCCTGTGCCCTCTGTTCTCTGCCATGCTGGTGATGGCCACCCTGTCACCCTGGGTCCCAGAGTAAGGACAATGCAGAGCAAAGCCCCAGGCTGATCTGTGTTGGACTTGGGGTGTGGGCAAAATCAACCTCCATTGTTTTGAACCATTAGAATCTAGTGGTTGCAAGTAACTTTGGGGCAGGTTATTTGGACTCTCAGAGCAAAGACAAAAATAACTGTAAACACGTCTTGAATTCTGGCTGGGTCGTTCTCCACCGCAGTGTGGGTCAGCAGCCCCGCAGTATCTAGGATTGAGCAAATGACGTGCTGGATACCGAGCTTCAGGGTTCTTGCTGCTGGAAGAAGGGGTTTCAAGGTGGAGAGGAGAGAGAGTCAGGGTGAGCTCTGCAAACAGGACCTGGCACAGGTGGCCAGCGGGAGCTTGAGGTGGGATGCCCATGTGTGCACGTGTGGAGTGTGGCCATGGGTGTGTGCACGCGTGCGGCTTTTCCTCAGTTCTGTCCAGGGCTGGGGGCACAGACCCAAAGGACAATACCTCTTTAGCAGCCAGGATACCTAGAGCCCAGACTGCAGTTCTGAACACACGCCCCAGGAAAGACAAACGGCCAATTCACAGACTGAGGCGAGGACTGTCAAGGTCATGAGCCAAAACACCCAGAAGCTAACAGTGTGCTCAGAAAATGTCAAAATGGACACAGGAGACAGGTGAAGGTGCCGCTGCAGAGCCAGGATGGTTCAGCATCACCACAAGTGG